AGAGTGTTCCTGGCAGAGAGAACAGCATGTCCAAAGGCCCTGAGGTAGGAATGAGCTTGGCATGTCTGAAGAATTGAGGGAAGGCCCAAATGTCTGGAGCAGAGTGAGGTAGGAGATGTGGCAGGGAAGATGGGGCGGGGGACTCTCAAGAGTGATTGGCAATGACCCAGGACTATATGCTACAAGCAAGAAGAGTCGGCAAGGGGTGACCTGACATCACTCTGGAAGCTGATGGGGAGACTAGAGGGGCCAGAACACTTGTCTGCTTTCCCTCACACACTTCCACAATTCCAGCACAGACCCACAAAGTATGTGGTGTCTGCATGTGGCACAGCGTGTTGCACCCCAGCAATATCTTGAAATTAAAATCACAAAATCTCTGCAGGGAAATAGTCACATTAAATGGGGAAAAAAAAGATGATAAATACTCAGGTCAGTTCAAGTCAACTTTTAGTGGAAAATGATTTTCAATGCCAAACTTGAAGGGAAAAACTGAGCTTTCCGAGCTCTTTTGACTTGAGAATTATAGATGTTTGTGGTACCACATTGGGTAAAAGGGTTCTCCACCAGTCTTCTTTCATCCATAAACACGGCCTATGCCAGGCCCAGTGCTGAAATAATCTGGTCCTTGGGGAGTTCCCATCTTAGGGAGGGGTGTGAGTGTGTGTGACACTATCCTTGTGTACTGGAGCCGTCAAGGAAGGCTTCATGGGAAAAGTGGCATTTGGACTTTGCCGTAACGAACGTGTAGGGGTTCTGGTGCTGCTCTCAAAATTACTGTTACTGTGTCCTTCCACCTGTCCCTACCAGACACCAAGCTGTTCGTGCAGAATCTGTGTCTTATGTGCCCTTAGCTCAGGGTCAGGCACAGAGTAAGCACTCAGGGGAACCAACAGAGACACCCAGAGAAACAGGAGACTAATACTTCAGAAAACTGGGGTCTTGAGGGTGCAGAAATCTGCCTGAGGTCACATGGCATTTAGGGCTTTTCCTGCCTCCAGCCAGTGCTCTCCTCCCACAAAGCAGCCTGAGAGCCACAGGATAGTAGATGCTGTTCCCCAGACTCCCCAAGCCAGCCCCACTCACTTGTAGGTCTGGTAGCTGTTTCGAACTTTGATGCCACCCTTGATGAAGCTCACCATGTTCTCATCCTGCGGGAGGAAGAGATGCTAAGAGCTGGGCCTGGGTGGGTAGCCAGAGGCTTGAGAACGATCACACAAGGCTCTGGACCCTGCCTGCCCCTCCCTGGGTCCAGCTCTATGAGGGGCCTGGGGGGATGGGGTCAGAGGTCAGCCAAACACCACCTCCAGAATGCCCAGGGCTTGACCACAGCCCTGCTTTACCAGCCTCACACGTACACATTCTCTGTGCTTGGAGAAGAGGCAGGAGATAATCTGTGGTTCACAGAGCCTCCTCCAGGGGGAGGAACGGAGGGGAAGGAAGAGAGACGCTCCTGCTTTTTACAAGCTGGTATTTATCACATCTGTAATTTAAAGCACCAATACCTAAAGCCCGCCCAGCAGCTCCACTCCTGGGTGTACAAGCAAGAAAAATGGATGGACATGGGCTGCGGAAGTCGCCCTCGAGAATGTTCACGGCCCCAGGGTTAACGGCAGCCAAGCACCAGAAACTGCCCAAACGCTCTTCAG